CCCCCCACTTTTTAAAAAATTGGGATAGCTTATTATGGGTTTGTTTTCTTTTTTTGCATCAAGACTGATTTGTGTCAAATGGATGAGCTATCCATTTGATACACGTCACAACGTCTTTGAGGCTCAACTGGGAGACTGGGTTTGCAGTTCTTCAGAGTCTTCCTTCTTTCACCTAATATTCAAGGAGGGAAGGGAATCCATGGGAATCTTTAGGTTTAGGTTTATTAGGTTTTATTAAATTTATACCCCGCCCTTCTCCTGGCGGACTCAGGGCGGCTTACAGCAAGTTAAAAAACAGACAAACCATACAAAATACTAAGTTTAAAATACAATTAAAATGAAATATTGATTTTTTTGCCGTTTCTTTATCCTATGGAATCAATTTGCCATTTCTTTATCCTATGGAATCAATTTTACAACTGTAATGATCAGAATTCATAATTAAACTGGAATCTACATTGAATGGAATGTTCTGCTTCTTTTACAAGGTGATACTATGTGTATCCCAGCTCTTGTTTGTTGGTAAGCGATCTCTAGATCATATTACCCAGTGATCAGTATTATGAAATCACTGTGGTCTAACAAGGGATCAAAGTCTTCTGTAGGAACAAAATAATGGAACAGAAATAGGGAAAAGATAAACAATCCTTCTGCAACCTGAGTGCCCTCTAAATATTTAGGCCTTGGCTCCTCAAATTTTCAGCAGCAGCTTTCACACATCTGGGAGACATATAAGCTGAGAAAGACTGGAATAAACCAATGCAATTCTCTGCCCCTTTTTTTGCAGAAGGATGGGTGGTAGAAGGAGGGAGAGAACTAAAGAGTTTTGTCAACTAAAATCTCCTTTCTAGCCTGGGATATCTGCTTTCTTAATCATATGAAGTGATAATAAGTTGCCATGGAATCTAAGTTGAAATGTTTAGGGCTATTATATTTGGGTGGGAAAAAAAATCTACTGACATCTGATTCCCAAAGCTGGTAGTTATAGAATTATTTCGGCCAATTAAAGTTATTCAAATATTTGCCATAAGAAGCCACTAGATGGAAACCCTGCTTCATTAATTTACTATTTAGGAGCCAGAACAGCAACCATAAATGTGGGGTTTCATTGATGACAAATTATTTGAAGTATAAATCAAGACTTTCATTTTCTTTGGCCAGTCTCCAGCAGATAAATTATGCAAAGAAATATTTCTGAATGCCATTGTCAATTGTTTGTATTGAAATAAATAAGGGAATGTTAGAATAACATCTCATAACAAAATGACTCTGGGTGGTAAATAAATCACTTGATCACAAATAAACTAACCACATCTACTAGTTTTCTTGTCCTGGATTTACTAAAACATTTTATTTTTCAGTATCAAGGGTAGAAAGATAAAAAGAGACGAGCGTACACATATTGGTTTCAACCATCCTTCCTGCTATTGTTTATAGGAAGAAAAGCAGGGTCCTGAAAATGAACAATTGGCTACAAAGATGGTATTTGGGGGAAATTTTTGGATTCCTGGATCATAATTCATATTACTTTTAGAAAAGATTCCTAGGCAGGTGTAGGAGGTACCTCAAAAGGGCAGAGAAATGTGCTTAGCAAAAGCCTTGTTAACCTTAACAGGAGGCTTTTTAATTAAACCAGAAGACAGAGGGAGACAGAAGCACCAAATCAGGTAAAGAAGTGATGGCATTCAGAATGGGGCTCCAGGTAATAATCAAGGAGGCGTATGGCAAAATTATAGATTTTATATGTAACTGAATACAAAAGCAGAAACTGAAGAGGGTAGTCAAGCTTCAAATTATCCCGCTCAGTGTGGATCAGTTAATTTGCATTAGCATGTGCAAACCTTCCAGTTGATTGTGCTAGGAGGCAGATGACTGCAGATGCCAATGTGGGAATAAATATACTATGTTATATAATTTTAGTAACCTTAAGAAAATCTTGTCAGTTGTCTGAACATTCCATACTGCTATATTCCACATTAAAATAGAAATTTTAGAATTTTTTTTAGAAAAGAATACTTACGGATCCCTAACTTAATAGTCATTTATTATGTTCAGTCCTCTTGCAGTTTACAAAATCAGAAGCATATACCTCATTTATAAATTGCAAGGGCATTTAATTACTGGGCTAGATCCTTCTCCCTACCTGATCCACAATTTTTCAAGTGGTGTCTCCTGGAGCAAATGAATTTGTCCATGCCTTCTTGCAGCAGCTGGATTACATTTTTATCCAATCATATACATACCTTTGGTTTTTCTCTGGAATTCTGTTCAAATTTAAATTATGCAAACAATAATCTAGTGTTTGAAAACAAGGTGCTGAATGTCTGAAATTTGTTTAAATTATCCCACTATAAAATTGCCCCTTGGTACACAGTTCATAAAACCAAAAATTAATGTGAACATTATCTGAGGTGGACCCAGCTAGAGAGGGCTGATTTCTCAATATCACATTCAATATGTGCTTCTGCCCTTGCTCCAAGGAATTAATATAAGATTTTACCCATTATTTTTTGTATAGCCCTATTTTCTCTTTCAGCATCTGGAAACTTCAGGTTTCCCTCTTGGTAAGCAAATTATTTTGGCCTGATACATATAAAATTCAATACCTAATGAATTTAGATTAGAAGACAATGCTACAGAAATTGGCAAGCTTTGAATGGGCTGATGCTAAACAGAAAAAGTATTTTATCAATATCAATAATATTGTATTTGCTGTAATAACACTGTTTTAATGTTTTTACTCATTTTGTACATTTTAATTTTTTCATTAATATTTTGTGCAGGTTTTATCTTATTTGTTACATCCAATGGTCAAAACAATAACTTGAATTCAATTGGGGGAATAAATGACGGTTCAATAAAGATTTAAGACATTCCAATCGCAACTGTTTGTTGCAAATCAAGAGAAAAAAAAGCACCATAAAAATTAATCATAGCAACAGTATTCTTTACTATTATCTAAGATCTACTCTTGGGTATAGGAAATTCATCTTAGTTCCTTTAAGTCACTTTTGAAAAATAGTCAAGGCACTATTCCATTTCATATGATAGATATCATTTGAAAGAACCAAAATTAAAATAATTCACACATTGTGCTAAACTCAGTATGTTGTACGCAGTGGTTTGATTCTTCTAAGAATTTGTTGCCATTCTATGTTATAAAATTTCAGGAGCTGGAGAAAGCATACATTATTCATTTCATTATAATTTCCATGATATGCATTTTTTTATGATTATATTCATTTAGTAAGACCTTATTATGTTTAAGGAGTTTCCTCAGCTTGTTTTACATGAGTTTTAACTTCTTATTTACAAAATAAAATGTGTTGGTGTACATAAGAAAAAAATATGTCCTCACAGGTTTTACCCTGTAGTTGCCCATCTCCTTTTCTTAAGCCAAAGAGACAGCATTATCTGGAGATGTTTCTGTGGTCATGTGGCCAGCATGACATCATGCTGCAGCACGGAGTGTACAGTGAAACACTGAACACTGCTATCTTGCTGCAAGCTTATACTGTATGTGTTACCTATTCATCTACTTGAACGTGCATGCTTTCGACTTGCTCGATTGGCAGAAGCTGGGACAAGTGATGGTAGCTCACTCCATCTCACAGCACTTGGGTGTCGAACAGCTAAGCTGTAGATCTTTAACAGTCTAAGATGCAGTGTCCTAACTACTGAGCCACTGCATCCCATGTTGGTGTTCATAAGGCACACAAATGTAAGGACAACATATTGCAACTTCAAAAACTGAAACAAAAGTCCTTGTTTTTGTTAATTATTATTTTGTTAACTTTGAAGGCTATGAAAAGAAAATAACCTGATTTTCAGAGGATTAATAGCAATGGACTTCTCCATTCATAAAGAGAACTTCCCATTCCACCTCTAATTTCTTTGCTTTCCTCAGTGCTACAGCAGATGTCTCCAAAAGGTTTTCAACACTCCATGCTATTCTTGGTTTTTGTTAGTCTATTCTGCAATATTTTTTGGAAAACTTGGAAGTTGCCCAGACTCTAATTAGGAACAAGGGCAAACTATGTGTTCTCACAGTACAAATAGTCCTCAATTTATGATTGTAATTGAGCCCAGAACTATGCTCGTACGTTGTGCCAGTTGTCAAGCAGGTCATCACATGACCAACTCAATTTTACATTTTATGTGATGGTCCTTAAGCAAATCACCCTGATTGCTAAATGGATCCACCACAGTTGTTAAACAAATGCCACAGTCATTAAGCGAACCAACTGTCCACAATGGGTAATTTTCACTGGAAACTGGAGGTAAACACCAGTTTCTGGCAAAAAAAAAAACACATTGTAAATTGTGGTCACATGATTGCAGGATGCTGCAAATGGCTGTAAATGTGGGCAGGTTGCCGAGCACCCAAAATATAATCATGGGGGGGGGGGGGCTGGGCGACAGCCAGGTGGTCATACTTTTTTGGTCATAACTCTGAACAGTCACTAAGCCATCAGTCTTAAGCCAAGGACTACCTGTAAAAATTCATGTTATTCCTTGTTTAAGAGATGATCTATATATTCAACAGGACAGATAACACCTAGTTCAGTGATGGCGAATCTTTTAGAGACTGAGTGCCCAAACTGCAAACCAAAACCCACTTATGCATCGTCGGGTGCCAGGTGGGTGTGTCCCATTGGCTGGATGTGTCCCATTAGCTGGGTGTGGCCAATTGGGGGTGTGTGACTCATTGGGTGGACGTGGCTGCAGTGGTAACGGCAGACTGGGTGGGACTAAAAAGTTCAATCAATGAATTCCAACTTTGCAAGATCTTTTTTTCCCCCGCAAGAGGTTGAAATTGACTGATTGATTGAACCTTTTTTTTTTTTTGCACGTGGTGGCAGAGGCCTAAAGCGAAAAAGTTTTATAAAATCCAGCTGAAGGCCTAGGACTGGGGCAACGGCGCACGTGCTCACAGAGAGGGCTCTGAGTGCCGCCTCTGGCACCCATGCCATAGGTTCGCCACCACTGACCTAGTTTATTCAGGAATGCCCAGAATAAACTGGAAATATATCAAGTACATTTTCCTTTATGGAAAAACCATCCAATCCCAGCAAAGATTAAGAGTTCTCATTAGGCCAAGCTTCAAAGGCTTTGTCTCCTCAGAACATTCTTTTGTAAGATTCGGAGCCTTGACATTATTACATCCCAGTCTGCATAGGCTCCTTCAAGATGACGGGATATTTCTGCTCCTGCCTGGTAACTCTGCCGACCATGAAGTAAACGCCAATTATCAAATACTACTATGTCACCTAGAAAGAAGGCAAAGAATTATTTTAAAATAAAATCTGTGGTAAATACATCTATACTAATTAGAGATATGATGGAGCAGAAAGGCTTACTGACACAATATTTGGAACTACTGAAGCTGTAGTTCCACATACAGCTTAATTTCTGATGTTTGCACTGGTATGCAGTTTTCTTGGCAATTTTTGAAAAAATAAATAAAAGTAGTTTGTCACTGCTTTTTTCTGAGTTTTCTTCCTGACTTCTCAGTGTAGCCTATAGTAGGGGTCTCCAACCTCCAGTCCGTGGACCGGCACTGGTCTGTGCCATGCCAGAAACCAGGCCGTGCAAACAAGCGAAGGCCCATTCACGAGATGCAGGCAGCACACAAAACCATGCTCCCTCTGGTCTTTCTCCACGGAACTGGTCCGTGGTGCCTAAAAGGTTGGGGGCCAATGGCCTGTAGCATTCAAGTTCTCTCGTAATCACTTACTGAAGTACTACTGTAGGAGCATAGTGGCTTGCGTGGTTGGGCTGCTGGGCAGGTTAACAAGCCCGCGTTCAAGAGCTGCTGTGGGGTGGGGTTGAGCTCTCGTCCTTCACTCCAGCTCCTTCTGGGGAGATGAAGAGCCCCCAACTGGGCATTCCCAGGGCAACAGTGATGTCACCAGTTAACCCTTTCAACCTGGAAGCGCCTTGGTGCTTCTGACACAAGTTCAAAAAAAACCTGAAGTACTAATTATTTCCAACCAAAGTAGGCTTGGCACTGCCAAATGCACTTAATATGCAAATATTAGGAGAAATCTGTTTCAGGTGCATTTGTATATATGAGCGTCCATCTCTTTGTCTCCACTATCATTTCAGAATGCATTTCAAGAAAAATGAGCACTGCATGTGATAGGTAGGCAAAAAGAAAAGGTTTATATCTCAAATTACTTCCTCTGCCCATTCCCTTCCCTGGCTCTCCCCAAAAAGCTGGAGAGGATTGGCAACAAACCAAATAAGAAGTCCCAATGGTGCTTTTTTCATAAGGCTACTGGACTTTCTTGTTTTTTTTTTCTTTGAAAATGTTTGGCTTCTCATCCAAGACGTTTCTTTAGTTCTTTGGGACAACCATGACCAGGATGATTGACAATCTCCATACATAAGCAAATAAGGAAATTTATTATTCTTGCTAATAAAAAAAATAATTAATGAAAGAATCACATGGGATACAAATTTATACAAAAGAACAATATCTTTTGCCTGGAGCCCCCCTTGTGTCTGAAAAAAATACCCTTAATAGTTGGAGAATTTTCTGAAGGAGTTTTTGTTTATTTCCTCCTATTTCTACTGAAAGAGACTTTTAAATCAATGGGAAAAAAAACACGATTACCATTTCATCCAGGCCTACCTGGCTTCATTTTGTATGAATATTTATAATCCGTGCTATTTAGGAGATCAACATAGTCCTTGAGAGCAGCATAAAATGGCTTTACTTTTTCAGCAGGTATGTCAAATATTGTATCTCTGGTTGCATTGTTAAAATTGATACGAACCACTTGGCCCTTTTCATCTACACTGTTGAGAAATGAGAGAACAATTCAGATTATCCTCAAATTTTTCAACAGTTTTATGTAACACCATTCTTCATTCACTGTTTTTATAAACGGATTAGGATTATAAACCTTATAATGAATAAACTACGAAACTTACAATGAATTAACTGCTGTATGGTAAATAATTGAGAATCTGACTGGTTGAGTTTACTAAAGCAATTAAATTTCCTTATAAATTTGAGATTAGGGAAAAGTTAAAAATGAAAGCAAAAATGGACAGATTTAGTTCATCCTGGCAGAGACAAGTGTTTTGCTTTTAAATTTTGAAGCTTCATTATGGTTTATACAACTATATGTTTGATGTGGCATTGGACTGCTATCACCTCTTTTAATACTAAAAGTGTCTCAACTGTAAAAAAAAATCCTTATAAAATTAATGTAGGAGAAATTAAACCATTTGCCCATTATAAAGCTTCCATCTATATCTATATCCATGTCTATATCTATATAATCTATATCTATACACATACTACACATCTTCCCACATCCCTCCCCCCC